TTACATAAGAAATATATATATTGTAAAATATATACACAAATTATGTTTGGCCTTCTTGCCACAACCTCCTGTGGTATTTGATAGTATTGATTAATCTGTTGGCATTATGTGTGCTTGATTCACGTGAAAGGTAAACTCCGTCTAGGGAAAGATATTTACGGAATGGTCGGGCTGTAAAATGTGTATAGGTGGCTTCCAACCACACCCTTCTCCTGAGACAATAGTTTATGTAATTTGCTGTGCATTTGTAAAACTCTGAATTCACGCACCCCGAAGATTATTTCTCGTTGGCTGGCGAGGTTCTATGAGCATGAACACAACAGTGGAATTGTTTTCCTTGAAGGAATTAATTATACTTCTAAGGTGGTTGATTGGCTGTGCTGGGTTGTGAGTTGGGTGTATATTGTTACCACCCAAATAAATGATGGTTAAATTGTGGTCACTCCAAAGCTGCTGTTAGTACTGGATTGTTATAGAAGTTATGAGCCGTAGCTCCTGGTGACCTGAATATTTGTATCTCTGTTTCAGGTATGTGGGTTAATACTGTGGGTAATTGGCTGTGGACCACTATTGCTACTTTATACATTAGGCTTTATAGCCTGGCAGCTGCGGAGACATTCGACTAATTATTAATGGAGGTTGGCCAAGTTAGGCTAGGATTTATAGCAGGTAACTTGCTGCTGTGGTTTATAATATAAGTTAAGAATAGCCTAATTTCTGGCTATCCTTGTTTACCGGATTTGATTTATATTAAATACAATTCTCTTATTTAGAGAAATGCATACAATTAGTATTAGTAACCTCTCATCAACTCTGTTCTTTGATTAAAATTTAATTCATTTGTTAGTGACCCTAACGCAAAAATAATCCTGACAATTATTGGATAAAATTACGTGAAGTTTTACATTGTCATGACCTCATGCTCTACCTGCATCACTGGAATCCATAGCCTGGCTAAAATCAATATACGTCTAGGGTTAAGTAAAAGGCTATCAAAACTACTTCAGTTTACTGGAGCATATAACACAGGTCACTGTAAAAATAATAAGAACTACAGTTCTCTACAACTCATACTCTGTCACATTATCCAGCTTCTTAAAGCTCTTCGAAATCATCAACAGGCCTTAAACTGCACACCCTCGGGAGTAGCCAACACCAGGCTTTATCCTAGAGCAGTGCAGCCCCTAGTATGCTGCAAACACAATTACAAGATGGTGGTGTCACACTTATTAATTAATGCGGTTGAGGAATCAATATCATATCAAAGCACACTAACATCACTTAAGATCCTCAGGTACCCACCTGAATATGTATACATAAAATCATCTACCACTTGGCACAAATGATGTACATCGGTAGAACTGATCCACGACAGATACTACAACATTGTCTATATAAATAAAAATGTAAATGTTCAGAGTCGCTAATCTCCGAAAGTTCATCACCGATTGCTTTGAAATTTTCACACAATATTCCATTTGCATCCAAGCGGGTTTTTATGTACATACTACATAGATGTTACATCTGTGATGGGAAAAAACATGCTTTAAAAAAAACTGTGTTTTTCATGTGAGGGAAATCTTCAAAACCTCTTTAGCGATTGCATTGAAATTTTGACACAACGTTCCATTCGAATAGGTGCATGTTTTTATATACCTACTATATACATGCCTCATCTGTGACAGGAAAAAACATTCTTTTTTTTAACAGTGCCATCTGTTGGACGTAGGAGCAACATACGCTGTAATCTCTGAAAGTTCTTCACTGATTGCTTTGAAATTTTGACACAATCTTCCATTCGAATACGTGCGTGTTTTTATATACCTACTATATAGATGCCACACCTGTGACAGATAAACACATTTTTTTTTAAACAGCGCCATCTGTTGCATGTAATAGCAACACAAGCTTTACTAAATATGTTACGATTCCATTTCATTGTTTTCGATTGCATTGATAAATTGAATTTTCATAGATTTCGATTTATTTTAATTTTTATTTTAATTATTTTGTGACATTGCATTGGAATTGAGCTGTGTTGTTCACCATACCATTCATTTTGTAAGTATAAGTATAGATGCCACATCTGTGATAGGTAAATACATTTTTTTTAAGAAAGTGGCATCTGTTGCACCCAAGAGCAACACACGCTATAGTATATATGTTACCAATCCATATAAATGTTTCCGATTGCATTTAGAAATTTAATTTTCATAGATTTTGATTTATTTTAATTTTGATTTATTTATTTTGTGTGACATTGTGTTGGAACTGAGCTGTGTTGTTTACCATACCTCACTCAATCAATATTTCTATAGATCATGATGTATAAAAATAATTAACAGAGAATTCATATTTCATACTATAGAGACATAATGGTATTTTGCAAGATACAGAATTTTAGGCTTCTGCCATTTCTTATACTTCCAATATCTCCACAAATACATGGCACATACTTTTGATAATGATATATAATATGTAAATGTATGTTAAACATACAATGGCAATACGTAATATATACTAGAGTATTGTCAAAAAGATATTATATAGAAACAATAATATTTGTAATACTAGGCTAATCGACCTGGATATCACTATACAGTGTGAACTCATCATACACCAGCCACAGTATGATCATACTGGCGTATGTGTGGTCATAACAGTCTAGTCACAATTTGGTTGGATTTTAATGTGTGCTTTAACTCCATGGATTTAAAACACCACTATTTTCTGCAGATATAATCCACGAAATGATGCACTTAATTTAGTAATGCATAGCTACCCTACGCATTATATTTATTGGTAATTTTTATTTAGTTCCTATTTGACCTATATTGAGGTTTGGACCATTATTGATATAATGTTTTAGTAGCACTACTGTGTGTACTGAAGTTATGAATTCATGAGATGTTACTGGTAAATTAGTAGCCTGTTTGAACTACTAATAATTTGTTAAATTATTTATTGCACTGATTATTTATTGGATAGGATTTTGACTATCCAGTTCAAAGGACCATAAAATTTGTGTGGGAATTTCCCAGCAGGTGTTTCATTTAAATTTAAATTCTTTATAATTAACACTCTCCGGGGGGGGGGGGGGCTGGGGAGAGCGTGTGCTGCACGAACTACTCCGAAATGTGTATACACCGAAATGTGTATACTCGTTTCAGTTTTCTTACTTTAATTCTCGTGCTTTTTCGTTCGCTTTGGTATCATTATGTTCGCAATAGAATTCCTTACAGGTGTATATGCATATAATGTCCGAAAGCCCGGCATGACTCCCCACAGCAAAGCCTAACTTCGGCAAAAGTGACACGTGTGCGCACAAAATCAGTAAAATGTGTATACTTGTTTCAGTTATCTCACCTTAATTCTCGTGCTACGTCGTTTGTTTTAGTATCATTGTGTTCGCAATAGAACTCCCTACAGGTGTATGTGCATATCATGTATATGGTATATAGTGGTAATTAAAATTCATATGACGTTAGTAAATGAACTACAAATATTAATTAATGAATTAGAAGAGCATAACAGCTGAGTTGGTTTGTGTATGATATATCAGGTGAACGTCCCGAGAATCAGTAAAAATTATCGCCTCCTGGTTGGTGGTGTCGAGCCCACTTGTAACCGTAAGTTGAGGGGGCTAGATCCCGGTTGATTATCTGCACTCTGAAAAACGTACAAAGTAACTAGTTCAATGCTAATCCTTCCCTTAATTAAACTCAAATGAATGAAATAACTTCCAATTTGGAATTAAACTTTCTGTGGAAGTTTTGGGTGTCATGCAGCATAACGCTGGTTAACTCTAGTACAAGAAAATATGGCCATAAATCTTTACAGAGTCTAACTAAACCAACCGGACACAATTTGTCTTGGATGTTGATAGCAGCGATGTCTAGGAGCCATAGCACTTTGGATGTCTCCAATCTTAGACGATGCTAATTTGCTAACTCCTGTAGGGACCTGATTGAAATCGTATTGTCGTGAGTCTCAGTGCGCAAGTGATGCGTCCTTTTTCCTCGATCGCGGTGAACATCCGGGAAATTAGTCACGCTATATAATTCATCTCGTTCACTAACGAGACGGTATTGGCATCATTTTACGCCCTAATATTTTACATCAAATTCCAGAGAACAATTTTCCATTGTTCATAACTCTGGAACAGAAGTTTTTCTTATGATTTAAATATTTGTTACCTTCTTAGATGTATGGTTGTTGTTGGCTTGTAGAGAATACACAGATGGTCACTTCAGCAGTTTATTGTGTAAGGTAACAAAGTATATATCTGGCCTGCCGAGGTCCTTCCTACTCTAAGGTCTGAGAGATACAGACTAGTCACCAGAACGACTGGTACCAGCGCTCTGTGGAGAATGACGTCAGAGGCTTACTTGATTTGTGATTGGCTATCCCCAACCGCCGTACAATTTGAATACTAACATAAAGCACATTTAATAAATGCTGAATACATGACGTGATTATTAGCAAAATTGCTAATAACTGCATGCGACCACCTTCCTGAATTATACATACGGCTCTTCATACCGAGTACTTAAGAACCTTTTAGCAGATCTACTTAAGAAGAAATACATGGCGCTTTGTGAATCTAGGTCTTGAATGTTATTAAGTTCATTTTAAACTTTTTTTATGTTTAGTTTTGTTGATTACATTTTACAATTAAAAATTTATATTTTAAATCTCGTTTCCTTAGCATTTATACATTATAGTATACTATTGTTATATGTAATATGAACTGGAATAAAATGTCAAGTGTGCATCCTCTATATAATATCTGATCTTCCTCAATCTTGGCAAACATTCTTTCCAAATCGATAGGAATAAGGTCATGACCTAAGTCAACAAAAAAAATCCTATTTTAATTTTAAGCCTATAATATGAAGCACCCTCATGTACAGTGGCTCACTCTATAAATAAATATTATTTAACATGCATATTAGAGATAATTGAACAATTTTAATTCCAGTAACGAAGTTTATCGGTGAATCACACTATCAGAGGCGTTTATCATGGTTGCTGCAGTGTTTGCGTCATCAGTACTGCTCACTATCCAGGGGGCAGTGCTAGTACAGACAATACAGTCACCTGGCCCCAGACCAGTGCTCGCACAATCGATACTACCCAGGCACTTAAGAACAGAAGGCATGTCGTGCCCTTCTCAAGGTTAGTTAGCTCCATTAGATACCTAGAAGATGTCAATTACTGTATTAATTCTCTAAAGTGCTGCAAATATAAAATTAAGGCAATTAGTTCTGGTAAATACAATTAAAGATACTCAAACAAACCCTTGTAATGAATTAAAATGTCTGAAAAAAGAAGCAGTAGTCGAAAATTAAGAGGGCAATATAATAATACATTAACTATTTTTTCACCAAAGTTTCAGAAGGTCATGAAGAGCATTTAAACCCCGTATGGTTGGCAGGTCTTGTGCTGGAGGCCGACTCCCAACCCTCCTGCTTCATTACTCTCATCCATCATGCTAACTCTCTACAGTCTACCGATTTCACAGTAAGTCGTACAAGCGATCCTCTAGACAATCACTAGTGCAGTGGTCAGAGTACCAGTGCTGTTGATGGGGAGACCCCTGGCAGCCTGGGGTTCGAATCAATCATCTCATATATACAATATATAAAAATATTCTCATATATAAAAATATCCAGTTTGAATTCAAAAGCTTTTATTTATCAAATATACCATCAAGTGATTTACCAGATGCCTGTAATTTGTTGATTTAACTTGTTTAAATGTTAGGAGAACTCTGTGAAAAACATCAATCAACAAATTTATACATCAGATATTTCTTGACATGAAAATTTGTCATTTGTCAAGAACAGCCGAATTTTATCCAAATACTCAGCAAATCCTTAAAGAACAGAACCTTTACTAAGCCAAGTAATATTGTTGTAATTAAGTGATTATGTATACACTGAATTTACTTCGCTCTGAATGAGAGCCTAGCAATAGAAAACAGAAGGGATGTTCGTTATGGAGACTCCTTGCATTCAACAACTGTCTGCTTCAGGAGCTCAAGACCTAGATTTACGAAGCGCCATGTATTTCTTCTTAAGTAGCTGTGCTGAAAGAACCTTTCAGCACAGCTCGGTAAGAAGAGCTGTGCCTATGATTCAGGAAGGTGTTTGTACGCAATTATTAGCAATTTTGATGTAGTTCACTTAAGTCTCGATAGATGTCACTAGAGCTTTTCGTTTGGCCAATCAGGGAGAAGGTAACATTGTCCATCTTACTGTCTTAGCCAATCACGATGCTGGATCATCGGCCCTCACCTGCCACTTATTATGTCGTTTTTTCATATACAGTTGCTTTATTTCAAAGTAAAACTATGTTTTTTTTTCAAGTTCCACAGTCAGCACCGACATTGTAGTAAACAAATGTTAATTTTTTTCCTTACCTACATAATTCTAAGAGATATAGCTTTCTGTACATCAGAAGTTCATTTCTCTCGTTGGCTCCGTGTAAACGGACGTCAAGAAACCCTCATTAAAAACATGTGTAACTTTGCTCTCTGATAAGTTATATTCCCTATGATGGATTCATAATAATTTATTATTCTGTCGTCCTGGTGGCATATGAAAATTCTGGCTTAATAGTAGATCTTTGTTCATTACTGAATTTATCAGTGTAGAGCTCAGCACTCGGAGGGCTGAGATGCCATACACTGACATTATATTTACCAAAAATTACCTGAAGGCTACTACTTTTCTAGTGGCTTCGAAGAGGACTGGAAGCCGACGGCTTGTTAAAGGTTCGCTATTTGTCCTGATGATATTTTCTAGCTAGATTTTGTAGTTCAACGGAGTTATGGCATTTTTGGCTTCAATAGGTAGGCTGTTCCAGGCTTTTTACCTGATTCACCTTAGGGCCATTAACACTAGTGGCCTCGACAAGGACAGGAAGCCGGCGGCTTTTCAAAGGTCCCTCCATTTGTCTTGATCTTCTCCAGGGGGATTTTAAAACCTAACACAGTTTTGCCATTTGCGGCTTCGGTGGGTATGCATTTCCATGGGTTTATAACGCCGTGGATGAATAGACATCACCTATTTTCAATCCTACTTGAGATACCTTAGCAATATTGCGGTTTTAAACTTGTTACGTTTACTTTCCACAATTTGTTACTTTTTTATTTTTAAATATTTTGTTATAGACTGTTATGACCCTTGACATCTGGGTATGGTTCCTCTGCTTTTGCAGTTATAGAAAATATATAATAATACGGCCTTGCCTACTAAAAGTGTCTAGGGTAAATAATTCAACTGCTTACTCAATAAAGCAATATACTTAAAGTAAGGGTAACAAAGAACATACAAACATATATATGAAAATACAGGCAGCCAGAAATATTGATGCACGAGAATAAAATAACACCATATCATTATATAAGTACTGATCACTATTTTAAAACTTAAATGAATAGATGGGAATGCAAATAATGGTCTAACCAGGCACTTAGCTATGTTACTAAACAATAAATAGGTACCAAAGACTTAACAACAAATCCATGCCAGCCAGCTCCACCCACGCGACTGGCGTTGCTGGAGCATGCTCGGCAGGGTGTCTACAAGTTACCAACTAGAAACCACATGAAATCTCTAGATACTCGACTGTCAGAGAGTAATAATTAAGAACATAATTATAACTAACTTATATGCATATAACACTGCTAAGGTATAATTAAGAAATTAAGTACAATAAATAAACAGTAATAATTACAGGGGTGAATCAGTGACGTTAGCTTGATACACTGCACGCATACTGGAACATCCCAAATATGGTCATCCCCCCATGAGACGCCACGCTCTTCCCCCACAGGAATGAACATGCAATAGCATTAGCAAAATATTACATACAGACACACTACAGCATGCTACATATAAATCAAACATATATACTGGAAAAAATGGATATAATGTTTAATTTAAATAACTGAGGAAAGAAATAATGGACATACATGTTTATCATGATAAATATTAGAATCAAATATATGGATACGTAACATAGACAACCAAAGAAATTTGTTTAGATTCAATTGGAATATCAAAATTAAGTTATTGACTAAGTAAAATGTATAGGAAAAATTTTAATTATTTTGTTCATCAAATAAAAATAAACATAAGTCTCTCGATACAAGATTTTGACATTAATCTAATAATTCATTTTGCAAAAGTTATGTTCTTCACTACTTGTTAAGCAAATTGAGTTCCAGTGCTTTGGAAGACAGTTATTTAATCTATTTATAAAGTAGTTAAAACAATATAAATATTATTACTAGAATCTGCATTATATAAAATTCCCTTTCAACACTAGTAAGCAATATTATTTAAGTACTTCGTAGCAGGACATTACATATCAGATGGCTAAGCCCCAGACAGGCTAACATTATTGCTAAGTCAACATGCGCATCCTCCGATAAGACAGTACATTTTAACACTAAATATAATAAGTACATTCTTAACTGTCTGCATAGTACATAAATACACTTACATGCAGGCGATGAGTTACAATAACGTGGCTGAAGTATGTTGACCAGACTACATACTACAAGGTGAAGGGACGACGACGTTTCGGTTCGTCCTCGACCATTCTCAAGTCGATTGTGATGAGGCAGCCCGTCCTCCAAACAAAGACCCAAAAGTGATTCCATGCACCCGCCAAACCCCCTGTTTACGAATGAAAAGCGGTTAACACACGACTCACAACTGCTGACGTTCGAACATATCCGGAACAAGTGCTTCACTGACGAATTTTGTTCGAATCACAACGCTATAAATGCTTCACCCACGTACTATAAATACAAATAATCGCCAACAGAACCTAAACACCTAACCTAGCCTAACCTATGCCTATATATGCACAATATGCTAATATATTATAATATTAATTTATACTTGAGAAAATTCCCGTTTTGAATGAACAGCATATTAAAATTTATGAATGCGTCTGTGGGGTCGACCGCTGGATGTAATGGACTTGAGTCGAGGATGGGTTGTGTTGTTGTTAAAGATTTAGCTACTCAGGACGAAGTGTCCATGTAGCACGGGCTATGAGAGGTCTGGCCCTAGCTTTGGTAGGGGACAGACGTGTGCTTCGGCGCTCCAGCAGTTGGTGCTGTTTGCCAGTTTCGGCCGGTGGGGGGCGGGTGTGTCTCTGCCCGCCTGTGCTGACGTGGGCAGTGTTGTTGCCTGCCTGGCTGCGTGTTGACGTGGGCAGTGTTGTTGCCTGCCTGGCTGCGTGCTGACGTGGCCGTTTTGACATGGGGGCCTTGCAATTCCTCCTGTTTTGCGGGTGAATTCCGTGGGTCTGGAATTCTCGTGCAAGGCTGGTTATCCGGCCATTGAGTTGGTAATGTGCGACATGCTTCGTGTCCCGGTGGAGGCTGTATATGGAGTTGAGCTTGTTACGGCCCACCGGGTGATTGTCAAGTTCATGCGGGAGGAGGAGTATTGGGACTTCCTCCGGCGGAACGAAGGGCGTTCGTTGCAGTTGCCGGATGGCGCTGGCTCCGTTACGATCTCGGACCGAAGTGGTGCCCTGACATATGTCAGTGTGCATGGTGCGCCCCTGGAGTTCCCTGAAGACCTTCTCCGGCGCTTCTTCGGGAGGTATGGTGCTGTCGTCAGTGTGCGGGTGAACAAGCTTTCCTGTTACCGGCTCCCGGGGACGCGGGTTCTGCCGTTTTGGAGGGGGTGCTTCGGCGTGGTGAGGTGCCTGCCGTGCCTGAGTGTGTTGCCTCCTGTAGTTCTGCTCTCCCCATTCCTTTGCAGAAGCGTGCGCGTCGGTGTTCTGAGGCTGTTTCCGTGGATGATGTGGACAGTGTGGGTGATGTGGCCTCTGTGGACTCTTCGGACGGTGCGGGTGTGGCCTGTGTGGGTATGACGGTGGAGGCTGTGCCTGCGGCGGGGCCTGCTGGGCGTGGTGTGGTGCGGCCTGTCTCGAAGCGTTCGCGGCGGGCTCGGAGTGTCTCCCCCTACGTGGTGTGCCTTGGGAGGAGGTGGGGGAGTATGGTGCTCAGCTGGCGTCCCCCGCCGAGGATGATGGTGCTGTGAGGGGCTCCGACGTTGCTCCCTGTGCCCCCCCTCCTGCGTCTCCTGCTGTTGGGTCCCCGCAGTGGGGGGTTGTCCCTGATGGTCGGGACCTCGTTGCGGGGAAGTATGCTGGGAAGCAGACGAACGTCCGTACCTTAGGTATGCGCCTGTGGTCGGATATCCCATCTTCTGTCCGGCTGCTAGGTTACTACGTTCGGGTGTATTATGCTTGGCAGCCCCGTACTTGTTTCCAGTGTGGCCAGTTAGGGCATCAGGCTGCCAGGTGCTCTGAGGCCCCTGCTGCACCTGTCAACTTGTTTCGGGAAGAGGATTTCCCGCCGCTCCCTCACGACTTGGATTTAGGAGATGATGAGGGGCAGGTCCCATTCGCTGCTAATGCGGCCCCCCCCCCCCCTGCGTCACCCGACATGCCCCCGGTGGTTGTTGTCCCTCCGCCGAGTGTTCCGG